ATATTTGACTCAAATACTGAAATTTGGATGACCAAAACGTTGGTGCCATAACAAAATACTACTACCCTAGGAAAGGAAACTTTATTGCAAATGCTACCACTCTTTAGAGGATGCATCAAGGTAATAAAGACCATCAAATTCTCTAGCACTGCCAATCATCGTCCCCGTTGACATTTCCTGAAATATACAATAGTTGGGATAGAAATCAGCATGACAGTGTTTATCCTTGGTCAATTTTTGCACACAAATAATAGATTACACTTCAATTTTGGAACATGAAGAACAGAATGAAGAACCAACTTATCAGAAACTTTTATGTCTCCAACACCAACGACTAGAGATATTTATAGCGTCAACAATTTTAACCTTAAGGGAGCCACCATATGGAGTATATGTGGACAATAATTCTCGTTATCCGTCATGTGATCAAAAGCACCTAAGTCTACAATCCAGGGGTTTTCAATACTCAGATGTTGAATGACATGTAAGGCTTGTAGGAAGTTACCTTTGTGGACTACCGTGGCCGTTGGCTGTTTTGTGCCAGGCATTTGAAGGGTATTAAGAAATTCCATGAATTTGGCGAATTGTTCAGGAGGGAACTGCTGGGTGGCTGGATGTACTTGAGGTGTCGTGGGCTTATCATCACTCTTTTTTGTGCCAGTGTGATAACCACGACCCCTTGGCTTCTTTGGTTTTCAGTCTGGGGGTTGCCATGAATATCCTAACAGGTATCTTTGGTCTAACCTGTCTTTTTACAATGTTCATAGGTGGGTCTATTCTTCTGGCCTCTTGGATCTGCACTTCTAGTGACAAGTGCTGATGGTTCAGGTGCAGTAGTGGTCCCCTTAGCATCAGTTTTCAATATAACAAGCCGACGAGCATCTTCACGTCTTACTTCAGCAAACGCTTCACGGACATATGGTAATGGTACGAGACTCAGGATCCTCCCCCTTACTGCATCAAGTTCTGGATTGAGTCTTGCTAGGAACTCAAATAGCCGTTCTTTGTCAATGCATTTTTTAAACTGGGCAGCATCCTCAACACACTTCTAGGCATCTTCATTAATCAGATCCAATTCCTGCCAAAGAGCAGTCATTTCAAGATAATAATCATTAAGGTTACAAGAACCCTGACTCATGTGCCACAATTTAGTGTTGATTTCAAACATTTGAGAAACATTTTCTCCATCGGAATATGCCTCTCGTACAGCCTCCCATATCTCTCTTGCAGTAGGTAGAGATACATAAAGCTCCTTTTTATGGTTGGAGTCATCGCATTAATGAGCCAGGAAGCCACCATCGAGTTTTCATTTTTCCAAAGGCAAAGGGCTTTCAGATTTGAGCCATCTGGAATTACAGACTCGCCATTGAGGAAGCTTCATCGTGTGTGCCCACTCTCGATAATTGTCTCCAATCAGTTTCTCAGAGACGATAAGGACGTTTGAGCCCTCTAAGCTCGGCATTGATGTGTACGGTCCCCCCTTCTGGCTCGAAATCAGACTGTCGAACCCCCCAGAGTCACTCGGGTCAGTCGCAAATCGTGTCTGGGTGTCGCGTACTGCTCCAATCGGCTCCATTTCCATTTCCGAATCAAATATGTTTTCGATCTCTCCCTCAAGCTCTAATACCATGTGAGAGAATCGACTGAAATGCTTCAATTTGTATATACAAACATGAACATGCGATTACAATATATACACAGTGCTAGGCTAATCTAATCCTGATTTCTAGCCTATGATAAGAGAAGGAATAATCAGCTTTAATTCTAATGGTCAGAGGCAAAAGAGAAGGGATAATAATAAAAAACAAATCAAACCTATTTACTATTTACACAATTAATGGGATTTCCACAATATAACTACAAGTTCATGTCCATCAATTGTAGTTCAAGCTCTATGCACCAAGATCACCATCTTAAAATTATGTTATTGGTGAAGGGAGCTTATCAGTCCAGACAGTTGTGCCACTTACATATTGATTTCAAAAAGGCGAAAGCTGCTATCAGCTCCAGCAATGGACAAAACCAGTGGGTCATTCTTATCAGTTCGCAAGGGCAACCAATCAAGTTCCAAAAGAGTTCCAGAAGACTGAGGCTGCAACAGTGAGTTGGCTAAGGGGTCTGGTGAATCCTGAAAAAAGCATGTATAAAATTTAATGATCAAAAAAGAAAATATATCAAAGGGCGAAGACTTGTCCACACACAACATATTGGAAATTATATCTTTTCCTACTTATCAATTTCTGAATGAAAAGACAAATAGGGTTAGAGGAGCCCTATAACATGAAAAGAGAACCAGAACCCTTCTTTATTCAAAATCAAAGTCTTTTGTTTCTTCAAAAAGGAAAGTTATTACCACCTAGGGGAGGAACAACTGAAATATGTTGGATAAGTAAAAGTATTCCAAGAGAGAAACTGAAAGGAAACATTTTATATAAGAAAGATATAAGGTTCCCTTCATTTGAAGTTGTCAATCCCTACCAAAAACAAAAATTTAATGCTTTTTTTTAAGCTACAAAATGATTCATCACAAGATGAACAAATATGTATAGAAACCATAGAAAAGTATAATAATAACAGCAGCAGCAATAATAATAAAAATGAAAGTGTACATATAATCAAAAGAAGAAAAAAGTCAGCAACATTGCATACCAAGTCAAATACAGAAAAGGTTGTTGTCATAAAACAGAACAGCTATACGCCCCCGACTATGATCTCCTGGTACAACAGAGAGAGAATTTGATACGGCGGATTCCTTCTCTATGAGTGTTGAAATAGGAAGACTGTCCGGTTGTCACATCCCACCATCTTATGTTTCCTATCCTGTCCCCCATAACCTGAAAAGTTAATTTAGTCATAAGCATCATAAAATTTGCAGCAAACTCATATTAACTAATTATAAGAATGTGATATATACCACATGAGGTAAGCGATAGGCCATTGCAGTAATTAATCCATCTGAGGATATGAATGATGTAGAAGGCCATTTCGGTCTGCAGTAAAGTAGATACTCTCTTAATAAGATTTAAAAATACTGGAAAAAGGGTAAAACAGGAAGAGCAAGAACCAATAAAAGCAAGACAAATTGATTATTCCCCTGAGGAACATAGTTGCAGACTCAAGCTTTTTGATGAACACATGTTTCACACCCTATGATCTTAAAAATAGATGGCAAAGCATGTAAGGCTGAGCAAGGAATGGAATTATAGTATTCCACATACTCTGTCATATGATGATGAATAGAATTCCTAGGTATTCTAGACCTAGATACTTTATTACAAAAACTTTCACGGGTAAGTCAACAACTAATTTAAGTTCCTTGAAAAGTCTCATCAACCAAATTCCTTCACAAATTAAAAAGGTTAGAGCACAAAACTCAGTTTCAGCATTGCTCCTTACAAAAGTTGATCGTCTCTTGCTTCTCCATATTAAGGAATAAGTCATTATGTAATTATGTTTGTTATACTGTTTTATTCTGTTATGTTAGTTATATTGTTATAACAGAGTAGCTGTAGTATTGTTGCCGATAAATATTACTTCCTATGATTCTCTCATCTTTCTGCAATCTGTATCATTCTGTTCGGTCTCTTCATGCTACTATTAGAGCAGTGTATCCAATCGAAGAACCTTGATCATGCCATTAAGCCCTTGCCACAAACTTTCTCCCATCTTAGTTCAATGAAGCATGATGGGAACAATAATAACCTCAACAAGAAATATCAAATGCTAGCAACAATGAGAGGATATGATCTTGAGGATTCCCTTAAGAGGTCAAGGCATGCACTAGAGAAATTTGAGACCTGGGATGATGTGATCAAAGGGAGAGTCAAAAAGCGATACACACAATGATCAAAACAAGAGCAACTCCTATTACCATGGCTATCATCGTCAATGTCAAAGGGCCCGTTACCCTTGGAAACAACCAAACATACAAATCCTAGGAGAGGCTTAAAACATTCCTCATGTCATTGGCTTTAAGAACAAAAGATGTTGCTTTGGTGTGCAAATTTTAAAGGCTTTATATAACCATAAGCTGGTTTATGAGCTCAATTTAAAAAACTATCCTCTAACCTAGTTTGCCTAGGTCTCATTTCTGCAAGATCTGCAATGTGATTCTTACCTGTCTATCAACAACAAGCCGACCCAATAATGCTAATGTTGATATGTTGATGATAATGATATCATCATAAAAGGTCACTCAAAGGCAGACAATCATCCAACTTATAACCTAAGTTCATGATAAATTTGCGCTGAAGAATCTTGGACCGCTCACTTTTCTCTTGGGAATTCAAGTTACAGATAATAGGCGTTCTACTAACTCAAACTAAATACATCAATGGTTTATTGGCTAAAGCTGGTATGACAGATATAAACTGAGCTAAACGCCTATGTCCTCTATTGTTAGACTCTGAAAAGGTGGAGACAATCTTGTTGAAGATGAACACTTGTATAGGTCTATCATAGCATTGGTAGCCTTACAGTACATTACCATCACCAGACCCAAGTTAGCCAATTTGGTTAAGAAGGCCTGTCGATTTATCCATGTACCTCAACAATACCATTGGCAGATTAGGAAGAGAATCTTGTGATATCTAGTGGGACTACAAACACATGGGCCATTGTTACAGAAGAGTTCTAATTTGAATTTAAAAAGCTGACGCTGAGTAGGCAACAAATAGAGATGACAGGCATTCTACTAGTGGTTCTGCAGTGTTCCAATGCCCTAATCTGATTTCATGGGCATCTAAAACACAGTCAGTCATTTCAAAATCAAGTACTGAAGATGAATATCGGAGCCCAGCTAATTGCACCGCTTAAGTGATATGGATCCAATCATTATTGCATCAACTTCATAATCTGAAGCCCACAACAATAGTGATTCTCAGTCACTGTCAATCTAAGGATAGGGATGTTATCTTCTAATCCTTTTATCCACTCAAGAACCAAGCATGTAGAGTTAGACTTGTTCTTCACAGAGGAGAAGGTAATCAACAACATGTTCCACTCATGATCAGGTAGTAGACCATTCTCATGAAGGCAATTACCAACAACAGTTTTGCTACTTTCAGAAATAAGCTCAATGTTCATAACCTCCTGACCACATCAAGAAGAGTTCCATTCGAACGGAAGGAAATGAAGAAGAAGAAAGAATTAATATGAAAGAGATCCAGATAAATGAGGGAGAGTATCAGGGAATAAGTCGTTAAGCTGGTTATATTGCCATAAAATAGTAGCTCTAGTATTGTTATCTATATATAAAATAGCAGCTCTAATATTGTTATCTATTTATTCCTTGTACCCACTCAGAATAATCAGATACATATTACTTCCAGTGATCTATCACTATACTCTAATATTGTTATCTATTTATTCCTTGTACCCACTTAGAGCAAAATTAGATTTGGTACTTGGAATGTTGGGACATTAAATTGTAAATCTGTAGAGGTTGTAGGGGTTATGATTCAAAGGAAAATCAATATCCTTTGCTTGCAAAAAACAAAATGGCGTGGAGAAGAAGCTAAGGATATTCAAGGTTTCAAACTTTGGTATACAGGAAAAGTAAGTGCACGCAATGGAGTAGGCATCATTATAGATAAGGAGTGGAAGAAGAACGTTGTAGAAGTTAGCAGAATTGGAGACAGAATTATTTCTTTAAAAATGATAATTGGACGTGAGACTGTTAATATTGTTAGCGCTTATGCGCCGCAAGTCGGGACAGAAGCCAGTCTTAAGGAATTATTTTGGGAGGATCTAAAGGGGTTGATTCGACACATACCACAGAGTGAAAAGATTTTTATTGGAGGAGACTTTAATGGGCATGTCGGGAGGGAAGCTGGTCAGTATGCGAGGGTGCATGGTGGTTTTGGTTTTGGGAGCTAAACAATGAAGGACAAACTTTTCTTGATTTCTCATTGGCGTATGATTTTAAGATTGCCAACACTTGTTTTCAAGAAGAGAGATGAGCATCTCATCACTTACAAAAGTGGAGCCTCAAGGTCACAGATTGATTTTCTTTTGATAAGGAACACAGATAGAAAACTTTGTAAAAATTGTAAGGTGATCCCCAGAGATGCTGTAACGACACAACATAGGGTCCTAGTCCTTGATGTGTGTATTATGAGTAAAATCCAAAAACGTCGACAAGTAGTAACACCAAGGATTAGGTGGTGGCAATTAAAAGGTGAGAAACAAGATATTTTCAAGCGAAATCTTTTGGATAAAGGAATTTGGGAATCTCAGAGAAGTGTTAACATCATGTGGGAGGATATGGCGAAAAAAGATACGGGAGGTTGCAAAAGTAGTTTTGAGAGAATCAAAAGGTTCTGGTCCGAGAGATAAGGAGTCTTGGTGGTGGAATAATAGTGTACAGGACAAAATCAAGTATAAGAAGAACTGTTTTAAAGCCATACATTTGTGTAACAATGAGGAAAATTGGGAGAGGTACCGTATGGCTAAGAAGGAAACTAAGAGAGCTGTGGGTGAAGCTCGTTCTAAAGCTTTTGAAGAATTTTATAAGAACCTTGAGACGAAGGAAGGAGAGCAAAATATTTATAAGATTGCCAAGAGTAGGGAAAGAAAATCAAGAGATCTAGAACAGGTAAGGTGTATTAAGGATGAAGAGGGAAGAATTTTAGTTACAGATGATGAAATTAAAAATAGATGGGAGACTTATTTTCTAAACTTTTCAATGATGGAGAGGATTCATCTAGTAACTTGGAGGATTTAGTAACTGGTGAAGGAGAACAAAATTTGTCATTCTATCGAAAAATACGTGATAAGGAGGTAAAGGAAGCTCTTAAGAAAATGGCAAATGGTAGAGCCAACGGACCTGATTGTATATCTATCGAAGCGTGGAAATGTTTAGGTGAAGAAGGGGTGAGATGGTTAACTAAGTTATTTAATGTGATTTTACGGTCCAAGAAAATGCCTGATGAGTGGAGGAGAAGTACATTAATTCCTATTTATAAAAATAAAGGAGATATTCAGAATTGTACTAACTATAGAGGGATTAAACTCATGAGCCACACAATGAAATTGTGGGAGAAAGTAATTGAGCACAGGTTGAGATTAGAGACAAGTATTTCTGAGAATCAATTTGGTTTTATGCCAGGTAGATCAACTACAGAGGCGATTTATCTACTAAGGGGATTAATGGAAAAGTATCGTTGTAAAGATAAAGATCTACACATGGTTTTTATTGATTTGGAAAAAGCTTATGACCGTATACCAAGAGAAGTGCTTTGGAAAGCGTTGGAAAAAAAAGGAGTACGGATTGCTTATATTAAAGCCATACAAGATATGTATGAGGGGGTAAAAACTAGTATAAGAACGCCTAGTGGTCAAACAAAGGATTTTCCTATAAAGATTGGACTACATCAGGGATCATCTCTGAGTCCTTATTTGTTCAACTTAATCTTAAATGTTTTGACGAAACATATTCAAGGAGAAATTCCAAAATGTATGCTCTTCACGGATGATATAGTTCTTATAGCAGAGACAAGAGAAGAGGTTAATTGCAAACTTGAGTTATGGAGGAGGACATTGGAGTCGAAAGGTTTTCGTCTGAGTAGAAGTAAGACGGAATATTTATATTGTAAATTTGGTAAAGGACTATTCGAAAATAATTTGGAAGTGAAATTGGGAGATCAAATTATACCTCAAGTGGAAAAGTTTAAATATTTGGGAGCCATTATTCAAAATGATGGCGAAATCAGTGGAGATATTTCACATAGAATTCAAGTTGGGTGGTTTAATTGGAGAAAAGCTAAAGGAGTTATTTGCGACCATAAGGTGCCTAATAAACATAAAGCAATGTTTTATCGCACTGCTATCAGACCGGCAATGTTATATAGTAGTGAATGCTGGGCTCTAACGGGACAGCAAGAGCATAAAGTTGGAGTAGCAGAGATGAGAATGTTACGATGGATGTACGGACATACACGTAAAGATAAAATTTGAAATGAGCACGTACGCGAAAAAGTGAGGGTGGCAC